AGCAAATGCCATACCGGGGTTAGCTTGGGTTGTCTGGCTTACCTCTACCACTCCTGATATCTTAGAGAACAGGACACTTGGGTCCCTTGAAGCAAGGGGAGTTGCTTCAAGCCCCAGGCTAGGAATGCAGGTATTCCAAAGTTCCATCCAGTTCTCTACCGTCTGTGCCTCATTTCCAGTTGGCTCTGACTTCAAGCAGAGGCAGGGGTGGGGGGGCTGTGCTCAGTGGTCTGTGAGGAACCGTACACGGTAGACCCACTGTTGGCACTTCCTCAGGGCTCCTGGAACCTCTGATGTTAGGGGCCCCATGAGATGAGCAGGGAAGACAGACCTGTTCTACCTGGCAGGCTGGTGAGGGACAGAGTCCTTCCAGGTCTCATGACCCTTTGGCTGCAAAGCTACGGCCTAAGTGCAGCCTCCAGTTCCCTGCTACAGGCTGTTGTTGCTTCCTGCCCCCCCACCCCCGCCCTCGCCTCCAGTGCAAACCTACATGTGCGGTCACTCACTGGGCCTCTCTACCCAGAAGTTGGCAACAGGGAACATGCTGCAGAGATGAGAAAACAAGCAGTGGTGGAGCAGGTGCCAAAGGAGTGCTAAAGAGCATTGGAAGGATTCCCAGCCTTGGAGAATAGGCAGGGCAAGAAAGAAGCACAGTCCCGAGTTTCACTGTGCACCTGACAATGGAGTTCTGGTTAAGCGAAAGGGCTCCTGGGGGCTGGCCTGGATTTTGAGGTCTTGCCCCACTCTTCACTGTTTGAACTTAGGCAAGTCCATAAACATCTGTGTGTTCTATCTCTGTACCTGTAAGTGGCATTAGCTGATGGTGAGGATGAGAGAGAGCCACAGAGGTTCGTGCTTGGCACAGAGGGACCATCCTGCTTCGTGCCTAATTTCACTCTGCCACATCCTTGTGCAAATGTAGTGAGGGAGTAAGAAAAAGATTTAAACATTGTCTGAAGAAATACTCTAATGCAGCTAAGAACGGTCACTGGTTTATTGCATTGTTAGAAAGGCCTGGGGACAAGACCAAGGCCACAAAATTCATTCTGCGACGAAAAGTCAGTAGAATTTTAATTTTTGCACAATTTGTGAGGGGCTGTGTATATAAGGTGGGGAGGCGTGGGGAGGATGTAAAGTTAGGTCAGTACGCATGGCAGAGGGCTGAACCCCAAGGCAGAGAGCTGTCCCTTGAGGAATCCCCAGGGACTGGAGTCACAGGGGCAGTTTCAGTTCTGCATTGCCTGCTGAGGCACTCTGGATACTGGCCTACCAGCTGCTCTGCATGCTCCACATCATGTTCTTTGTCACTGTGCTACAAACACTTGGAGTGTTGTTGGCACTGGGGGGTGGTGGGATCAAGGCAAAGCTGTCTGTTGCTTGGGACAGATAAGCCACAGAACATGAGTACATGTGAGATTCAGAATGTGTAGAAGCAGAAAATTGGAATAAGCAGAGACAAGAATTAGTGTAGCCTCCTTTTCCATGCAGCCCTCTTTGATTTCTCCAAGTATGTGGATGGAGCCCTTTTATTTTGATGTGAAAGAACAGAGTGAGTGACCCCTGAGTGGCAGACAAGGCTGGTATTTGCTATCCCATTTTAGGGGTTCTGTGTGAAAGCCTTACGATCTTCACTTTCTAGGTGGGAGGAGATGGTGTGGTGTTTAGTTCTCTCTCCAGTGCTTTTCCTGGTCCTGGTCCTGGCTGAATCCCTGTGGAATGAGGTGCTGAGTTCTGACTTTACTGGGAGAGATGTGAGGTTACAGTCTACTGTGGACCAGGAAGGGGGAGGGGGGCTTTTGTTGGGAATGAAAAGATTCTTTCATTGTAAAAAAAAAAAAAAAAAAATGGTGTGGCTTGCCTGTAGCTAGTGCCATCCTGTGTTGTTCATTTTAGTGAAAGCATGTGGTCCCCTTCCAGCGCAGACTGCTATTGGCTTCCAGCTACTGGTGGAGGAAGTCCGTCAAGATGGTAGCAGAAGGCTCCCTGGGAGCTTCTGGTATCTGCTCTTGTCACCACAGGGATAGCACATTCTGTCCCTTCTCCTAGCAGCGGCCTCTGCCTAGGCTGTCTTGCAGTGGGTGCTTCAGAAGGGGCAATTTTCTGTCTGTGCCTACTTAGTGACAACTTGCCCAGGGGAGTTGCCATAGCTTCAGATTCCAGATCATTATTAGACTTTCCTACACTTATGTGGAAGGAATTATTGTCCCATAAAGGGTGAGATCTTCCAGTTCATTTAGCACCTGCTCTTAGGTCCTGGATGAGAGCTAGGGAGGAAGAAAAATTCCCAGAGACATGTAGCCTGTTGGTACAAGGGTCATTTCTGGAGCCTTGGTCTTGGTCTTTCCACTATGCTCTGCTACCGTGTCCAGCTTGCCAAGTTAAGACAAGTGTATATCAAAAATGACTACAGGCTTAACCACTGGGTTTCTGCTTTTGGGTGTGGTTTGATTGCTTTGCTCAATCATGGTGAAGAAACACTCTTAACTGCAGCTACCTCCACGGTAGAGAATTGTTGGTAAAGCAAGATCACCTTTCAGTAGATGGTATCACCGAATGGGACCCCCAGAAAGGGATGTAGATTTGCATTAAAAGCAGGAGAGCACCAGAGACCACGTGTAGCAGGTCACTGAGATTTCAGGGCTGCAGCACATTGGCAGAGAGAGCGCGAGGAACCCTGGAGTCTGCCTCTGCTCTGCTGTCAACACCTTGGATGACCTTGGGCAAATCACTGGCTTCCCTGGGCCTCGGCCCTCAGTTGTAGCCCGGGACCAGTGACCCTCAGTTGCTGCTCACAGTATGGAGGCTAATGTTGACCCATGGGGGTGCGTGAAGGTCTTTATGAAGTTCCATAGGCTCTAGTGGGAATTAGTATTAGAAATTTTGTAATTGGCTGCAGAAACAATGAATTGTAAACTCAAGTGGGGTTAGGGTGCCTTTTTCCTCTGATCTCCATATTGATGACGCAGTTAAAAAAGGGCTCTGACAAGGGGTTTAGCCCAAGACCCCAAGGTGCTGGATTTCATGGACCAAAGAAAACTCATAAAGAAAATTCAGTGGCTGATGTATAGCGTGGGCACCTTTATGTTTTGCCTATTATGGTCATTAAAACAAAACAAAATAACTTGGACAAAAGCAAATTAATTTCCATCGATACCAGTGTCATGTTGTAAAAGGAGGGATGCATTAATACCAAAAAATGCAAGGAAGGGCTTACTCGCAGGAAAGCATGTCCCGTATGTTGGATGCAGTCAGCTGTGGGGAGGGAGGGTGCTGCTGCTTCTTTTCCCTGTTCTGCCCTGGACTTGCAATAGCTATGGGGGGGGGGGGTCCTGAACACTAGGAGGAGCAGCTGTGTTTGGGGCACTGTCAGATCGGGAGCCCGTGTTCCAGAGCACCTGAGGTCCTATTGCCTGGCACTGTGCTCATTTTTGACATCATGTGCCTATCTGCACATTGCCCATCTGCAATGTATGAAAAGTTCTGGTCTCTTTTGGAAACTCTGGGGGCAGGTGGTGGCGGCAGCATGGGAGTGGTGGGGAGAGAATATGACATGTTTGATATTTGCAAGTCTCAACAAGAATCTGTGTTCCATGTCCTGACTCCAAAGCTGTGTCATCTCCATGCCAGAGGTCAGCAAGCTCTAGTCTGGCTCAGATCCAGCCACCACCTCATTCTTCTCTAAGTATTATGGACCCATGGCTGTACACACTCCTCTCACAGAATCTCTTGCTGTGTCTGTGCAATGGCATAGTTGACTTGCAGCAAAGTTGACTTGTAGCAGAGACCTCAGGCCTGCAAAGTCTAAATGTTTACTGTCTGGGTTTCACAGGAAAAAATTGCTGACTTCTGCATTATAACATGTTGCTTTTTATATTAATTTAGCTGTCTACAGAGACATTATAGAAAATGCAGTCACATGGTAAGTAATTCTAGCCCAGGTTAACATGTTGTTGATAGACTGTCATTATTCATCTGCCGTGAAAGATGCAGAGGGCCTGTATGTTTGGGGCCTTTGGTCCTTATTTCCTAAGTCTCTTGGTGACTGCAGGAAAACAGTGACTACGGGTGTCTGAGGACTCTGCAAGGGTGAAGCTGTTGTTTAGAGAGCTGTGTCTATGGGTTTGTGTCCTAAGGATGCTTGGGGACCCCGCTGGGTGCCTATGGTGACCTGCTCTTTCTCTTTCACTTCTTTTCTTTAAGCTCACACCATCCAGTAGTGCTTGCTATCTAGGTTCTAAAGATTATAGGACTAGATGGGAGTACTGTCCCTGGCAGAAGGAACATAAGATTGGGACAAGTATATCTGGATTCCAGATGAGGACATCTGGGGTCTAGTTTGGGCTTCATATGACCTTGGTCTTGATACTGGGTTTTGCTTTTCTTCCTCAGTGCAAGGAAAATTTTCCTCAAATGATCTCAAAGTGTTTAACCCTCAGTACTAACCTAAGTCGGCATACGGCCCCCTGGGGCTAGTGACTTTAGTGATTTGGAGAGGTGGGTGATGAGAAGAAGGTCTGTTTTCACTATGCATTTTGAGTATTACCAGTTCTTTAAGGATTACTGTGTGCTGGTCGCCATGCTAAGCAATTGATGGATGAGATCAGATTCGCTTCTCTAATACCTTAATGAGATGGATATTGTTATTCCCATTTCATCGATGAGGGACTGAGGCCCCCAGGTGGAACGTGGAGCTAAGATTCATATCTCCAAGTTTTAAGCTCCTGACACAAAGTTTTGTGTTCCTGCCCTTGTCCATGCTATAGCCTGTGCCTGAGGTTGACTTTTCATTTGGGGATTGTTAAGGGCTGGTTGGAGACTTGTGGGCACCAGAGTGCCAGTCAGAATCTTCTGAGATGAATCAAGATGCCTCTGCTCATCCCGAGGGGCCCCACATCCACCCACTTGTCTTCCGGGCTTTGTCATGCTGTTTCTGCTTGTCATCAGCTATGACGTGACAAGAATGATTGAAGATTCACTTACTCCCAATGCTAAGATCTTACCTCCTTTCAAAGGAAAGTTGTCCGGTGGGTTGGGAATAGAGTCCTAGAAGAGAAAAGCAGAAAGAGCAGCATGAGGATGGCATCCATGTTGAGACAGCTCTTTTCTTTGTTTTTTTTTTTTTTTTTTTTTAACTTGTGTCATCAACATACTGAGTAATTCAGAATTTGCTTTTCATCTGATTCTTAAATCTTAAGTTAATTCACTGACATAGTTTGCAGTGGACTTTCTGATCTGCAGACAAAGGTGATTATCCATTGTGCAGGGGAGGAACCAGAGACAGAGGAAAAAGAGTTTTTGGATAGCTCAGGAGTCAAAATCTGGAACTTTCAACTCCCCGTCCAGGGCTTTGGTTTTCACCCCCACATGCATTACTTTTCTCATTTCCATCAACATAAGAACACTCATGCGTAGTACATAATATGTTTTTCCCCCATGTTTGACTCATCCAACATGAGGTGTATGTTAAATATACCTGGGGACAGATACTTTGTCTCTCTTTTGTGGTTGGAAATTCTGAATTAATTGAATGTTTATTTGCCAAATATTGTGGCGATATGGCAGATAATTAAATTCATAATAAGTTGTGAATCTTTTACAAGTTTATGTTTGAATTGATAATGTTTATAAATATGTAACATAAGTAGTACCTAGTTATGTGCTTATATATTCATACTTTTATCCTTACTATAATAAACTCTGTGTGTGTGTGTGTGTGTGTGTGTATACACAACGAATGCATTAAATATAAGCGTATAGGCCCTCCCTGGTGGCACAACGTGTTAAAGCACAGCACTGAGAGGCTAAAGGCACTTCCGCATGAGTTCGATCCCCCCCTGCCCCGGAGGTGACCACATGGCGTGGCAGACCTCTCCTGACGCGCCCACTGCTCCCCTCAGCAGTGTACTTTGTTGATCTGCCTGTTCTGCTCCCCACTCTGTCTCTGGTGAATCCTCTCACCCTCCACATCTCTGGCCTGTACCCCAGTTCTGTATGAATAAATAAATCTTAAAAATAAATAAATAAATAAATATATGTAAGTGATAGAACAGAAACATTAGAGACCCCCTGAAAGGGGAGTCTCCAGACTGGGAGACTGGAAGAAATGTAAAGGAAATCTTGACCGGTTCTGAGAAAGAAGGCAACAGAAGCAAGGGGGCATGGTTGGTCACGCCTGTGGACCTCCTTTCCCCTGCCAACCCACAGCCATGGGCACCTTTCTGCTGACCTGCCAATGAGCATTGAGGTGTCTCACTCATATTTTGACCAGCTCAGATTGGCATCTTCTATTATGCCTTTGATAGAAATATGAATAATTACAGAGCAATGAACATTTACAAAGCCTTTGCCAGATCAAGAAGTTAGCCTTTTCCCACATCTTATTCTCAGAGTGTTTAGGAATACCTAGGGCCATCTGCCATTTTGCCCTGCTATGTCTCCAGGCTGCGTCTCCAGGCTGCTGTCCTTTGCCTTCCTCTGACATCTCCTTTTCTGCTCAATGGATCCTGTTCCAGCCCAGGGACATGGGAGTAGGTGAAGGAAATATCCTGAAGGCCAAACCCTGGCATAGCTCTGCTCTGGAGCTGGGTGAATAAACTGTTGGACTTCAGATTTTCAGAGAAAAGTGAACTTGGCCTGGGAGATCCTTTGTTCTCTGGTATAATATTTTCTAATTTTATTGTTTTAGCTGAAAGTTCTTGACCTAACCATGCTGTGGTCTGTCAGTTACACATGCAGTTCACTGGAAAACCTGACATCATAAAAATCCCCGCTGTGTTACCTCTGTATGGCAACAAACAGCAAGTCAAAATGTTAGAGATGCCAACTTTGCTTCCCAGTACGACCAGCCACTCCTATGATGTGCCAGTGCACAGAAGGAAACATTGGCATCTAAATAAGCTGTGAAGACAGGGCAAGTGTCAGCAGTCCTGGGAAGAATCTGGGGAAAGCGAGAGGAGGTAAAACAGCAAAACCGGTGGCAGTGCCTAGAGGCCACTAGCGGGGCTGGGGGCGGGCAGAGAGCCTGACACTGCACATGCCGAGCGAGCACCCGGAGGGGGCAACCAGTGCCTGCGTCACTGGAAGACACGCTGTGGATTTCATGGTCACGGAAGCCTTTGTATTTACAAGAGACAAATGCACGTGTAACTGGGACAGCAACTTGCAATAAGAGCTATGCAGGAAAAGAGTGTTTCCAGATCGCACTTGAAGTTGAACATGTGTAGTAATCATCCGGGGAGTGAGTTTAAAAGCAAATTCCAATTCAGCAGGCTAGGGTGGGGCCTATGAGTATTTTGACAAGCTCCCAGATGATATCAGTGCTCCAGGTCCACGACATGCTTTCAGTAGCAAAGATTGTATTGCTAACATCTGGGCGGAGGACCTCCGTCTGGCTGAGTGGTCAAGGAGGCCTCTGTGTATTGTCGCTGAAGGGCTCTCTGTTTTTTAACTTATGACGAGGATGTCAGAACAAAGCAGGTCAGTGTGGGGATGAAGCCTGTTGCCTAAACCTTTCCCCAAGACCCCGGACATCTACAACTATTTCTATTTTGAAAAGTTCCTGGGATGAGGTCTCTATAGCTTCCCCTGGCTGCTGTGAGACAAGATCAGTGAATGAGGAGCAGAAGTGAACTGAAATGCCTTTTAGTCCATCAAATTAATTTTTCAGAAGAGGAAGCTGAGATAGCTCCATCAGTCAGTGGCAGCTACTGGGCTTGAATTCTCTGGTGCAACACCATTCTGTGTTGCCCCCAGAACAGTTCTGTCTGCAGAAGTCAAAAATAGAAAAGCTCATCTTTTCCTCCTCTGCCCTCCCATCAGCAGTCCTTGCGTTTGAGTTGAGAAGCAGGGTATAAAGAGAGAATGACTTAAAATTTGCCTTAGGAGCTCTACTAAGTGCTGCCATTCAACTCTTCATTGAATTGTCTTCCAGCTCTAGAACTCTCTTCCAGATCTTGCCTGGGCATCTGGGTCCTGGCTGGGGACATGTGAATGCTCTTGTTCAGCAACTTGGCTTTCATGTGCATAGTCCATAGGCTACACACACACACCTGCTGTGGACTTTTCCAGATCATCATTCTCAGAGCCATCGAGCAGTTCAGGAAACTTCGTCTCCATGGTTACCAGCCAGCTACACTTTAAGTGGACTGCTTTTGTTGCAGACTCCAGCTGTCTAGTGGATATCCCCCAATAATTTTTCTGTGCTGGAAGGAGGAACCCTCATGTTTAACTGGCTTATTCCCAGTTGCCTAGGACTTTGTTTATTCATTTTCTTTAATCAGTGTGATTAGAAATCTAATAATCCTTCCCTTCACTGGGATGTTGCAGACATAATAAAATACTTCATTTAAGTTGTCAACAAGTACTTGAAAATGGTAGCATTTTTGTTGATGCTGATAATGTGCCTGATTTTCCCTACTATTTTCAAAGACGTTTCTTTTTAAAGAGCACTGATGTGCAGGGCTCATCTGCTTCCACTTTGGGTTTTAACAGAAGATGTCCTCTCTGACTGTAAATGACCAAAGGCAACTAAAGTTTGGCACATGCCCAGGGCATTTCCTATCTCTTCCCATTGTGGACTCTGCACTGTCTTGGACCATGAGGGTTCTGAATATCTAGTAACACCTTTCTTATTGTCAAGCTAACATGACTAAGCACTTAATGAGGGAGCGTAATCCTCTAGGGTTAAAAACTTTAGCTGTGTTGTGTTCCTTGATCGTTACTCAAGTTAGTGATTGACTGAAACGTTGAGCAAGACATTCTGTGATTATTACAGAAAGCCCTAAAGATGGTGAATAGCAGGGAAGGAATTAAAAGCCAGTTGTGCTGGCTTGAAAGGCAAGGGTCTTCGGTGCACACTCTTCTGCCACTTTAGGGGGAGCAGGGTGAAGCTGGGCCTGACAATTCTTGCCTAAGACTTGCCAGCACAGTGAAAGGTAGTTATAAAAAGTCACCAGAAAAGATTATTTTCCCTGGTCGCCTTCAGTTTGAGGTGGTTAGCAAAGGTGGGATGGCATCAGAGTGGCTCTGAGCCAGGCTTCTCCTACTGAGGTCCTTGTTAAAATGCTGATTGGACTCAGTAGTTTTAAGCTGAGGCCAGAGGCTTTGCAGGTCTCCGCAACTTTCGAATGATGCCAGTGTACTGGGCCTGGGCCATACTTGGAATAGTTTTAAAGACATTAGTTAACAGGCAATCAGGACACTGGAGGTCTTCCTTCCTGGAAATATGGCTCCCGAAGGCTGACTGTGAGGCTGAGCTCGGATAATGTGTCGGAGCTTTCTTTGTGTACAGATTGGGGTGCATCCTGTCCTCTCATTTTCCTGCCAGCTCGTCCTGCCCCAGCTCTAATTCCTGCTGCTCACACCTTTGGTCTGTACTGTACTGACCTCTGTTCTGACCCTGCCACCCTGTCTCCCATGGACTTGCCTTGCTCTGGGCTGTCTCTCTTGCCTCACCTGGAGAGCCCCACCCCAGCCACTGCCTTCCCATGGAGCATTCTCTATAGAGTGCCGGCTCAGAACCATGCAGGGGGTGATGAAACAGGCAATCCATATTCTGCAGTCCTGTCTGCACGAGCTGAAGCAGACAAGAATCATCAAGAAATGCTGAAGCTGCTGAGCCAGAAGAGTATTGCCCCAGTAATAAGAAAAGAAAAAACAGGGTTTGTTGTTTTTGTTTGGAAAAGAGATAGCAGGCTCACCAGTGGGGTGGTGCAAGGTACACATTGCCTATTGTACTATCTGTGTGAAAAAATGTCTCCTCTGAATAGAGTTGTGCGGAAACATTAAGACACATTCAGATGTGACCGTCCTGCAAGATTGTTGACTGGATCCTTCCCAAGAAAATCATGAGAAACAAGTGGCTAGTGGTAGGGGAGGTTATAGTTCATAACTTCTCAAATTTTAGCTCACGCACAGGTCACTCATTAAAATGCAGATTGTGATTCAGTTGGTCTAGAACGGGCCTGAGGTTCTGCATTTCTCAGGTTTTCTATCCTTTGTGGCATTCTAGACTAAAGCAGAGATTTAAAAAAATTGTGATTGACCATAAATTGGATTCTGGGTTCCCAAATAAGAACATGGCACAACTATAGGAGATACCTTTGGACATCAAAAAATGCCAAAAAGGGAAATTAAAAAAACATAGATTTTTATTTTTATATAAATATATATTTGTAATATAAATTTATGTATTTACATATAAATGTAGACATACACAAAATTTGTTATAAGATGATATGGAATTAACGTGAACTTCCTTGGATTGCTTTTGGCACTGAGGTAAGTAGGAGATAGATAGTGAAATACATACTGGCAAAAGGTCACATGACTCCAACTATTTTATATATATAGAAAGACCTCAAATATGGTGAAATATTAATAAATTCTGGCAAAAGGTTATATGGGAGTTTTCTATTTTTCTCTGAGTTTGAAAATTTTCAAAAAAAGATTTGGACTTAGCATGCGAACCTTCTCAGGGTTCTTGGAGGAGTCTGGCTTCTGTGCCAGCTCTTCTGCAAACCCTCCTGTCATCCTAAATGGAGATTTTCCACGCCTCTCTGGTCTGTTGGCATTTTGTGCTGTTCTGTCCCACCCTCAAGTTCTTGGGTGTTTAGGCCTTACCCTCTCGATGTAAAGAATTCCCAGCAAATGGGAGTACTACCCTGTCCGCTTGGGGCCTCCCCTCATAATCCAGCACAGGATTTGCCCCAGAGATTGTCTCAATTAATTGAAGGCTTTGGGCACCAGGTAGAGAGAAATATCATAAGCCATTTCACCCTTAGATGTTATCTGAGCTTTAAAGCAAACCAAAAGCCGGCAGCAAAAATCACTGACCCTGACGAGACACTGAGACACCGTGCCTCAACTCAGGAAGTAGAATTGTGCTGCAAAGATGTAGGAAATTTTCTTTGAATGTGAAAGCAGGAGGCAACTGCTTTCTCTTCTTTTTAGAGAGCATCTTCTTGACCACCTAATGATTGGGAGCCCTCGCTCCAAACTTTTGGGACATAAACGGATCTTTCAGCTGCTGGGTAAAACCCAACCTCTGGCTTTCTAACTGAGATTGGAGACTTTAGGGCCTCTTACAATGTAAACGCTTCTGGTGTTAACTTTGTAACCTGTTTCCTTAAATAAACCTTTGTCTCTGGAGGAGATAAGAGGAATTTGGTTACTTTTCTCTTTGCTGCTTAAGTTGTGTGAAATTTCCGGCTGTAGTATGTTGTATTTACCCAGTGTCAGATTTCTTTCCATAATGAAGAGGTTGGGGTGTGCCTTTTTTTTTTTTTTAATAGGACTTTTGATGTTTCAAGAACTTAAGGGAGGCTGATCGACAGTATAATGAAATGGAAATTACACATTGCTGTCACTAGGAATTTATCCTACAGATACTTGCAGAGATGCATGCAGGGCAAAAAGTCCACAGAGCAACATTTATGTGGTCACTAGGCACAGATGAATGGACCCACGAAGCAGTCACCTAAGAGAATATGAGGAGACTTCTCAGGAATGAGGTGGACTGCCACATACAGGCGGGTCTTCCAGATTTATTGTCAAGTCAGTAAGATAAGGCGAAAAATTAAGGGTTTACTGTGGTATGTCCATCATATCTCTCTAGATGCACAGGTTTTATACTGACACACGGAGCTGATGTCCTTGCTGTCTTGTTGGCCAGGAGTGCCCTGTCCTCTGATTTCCCTTCTTCACCTGTTTGTATTATACTCATTTATGAATTCAACTGAAAACTAATTTCTAGTGAAAGTTTTTCTTAAATCTGTCTGGGGGGGAAAAAATAACACAACTCTTGTCTCCTTAATTTGTGGCCCACTACGTGCCTATCATCCATAATTACTGTTTGTAATGTCATCTTTTTTCTCACTTAGAACTGTGTCGTCTTACACCAGTAAAAGAACTCCCATGGATCCCCACTCTTACTGCTATTCAGCTTCACACACACTTTGTGGCCATCAACCAATTCCATTTTTTAATGATTGTGTTGTGAGTTTAAGTCTTTTGGGTCTTTTCTACTGATTTCTTTACTAGAGATTCTGTTTGAGTCCAGAATTTCTTCATTTGTCCGAGTTCTGTCCAGAGTCTTGTCTTCTTCCTGCAGGAAGCCTTCACTGATAAGCTCAGAGGAACTTTTTCTACTTAGCTTTTGAAGCAGTTAGTACCTGAACAAATAACTTGAGATGATCTGCGTAAAACACTTACACACTTAATGTCACATTGCTTTTAAGTAAGTAAATGCTATTTCTCAGGTTAAAAAAATCACAGCACATTTGACCATACACTCAGAATATGAAGTAAATCATTTCATAACCAGTCTGAAGAGTAAGTCAAGGAAATGGATACATAAAGAGCCTCCAGAGATGAGTAGGAACAATTTTTAGTGCTTCTCTGACTGTGTCTTGGCAAAGAACACTATTCTAATTAAACCATCAGTCTTGATTCCACTAATTCCTCAGGATGCCTTAACTTGAACCGGGTTCCCTTTCTGTTCCCATGTTCTCCACATTTACAATAACAAGGCAGAAAGATCCACTCTGGTTCCATCATGGAAACAGTCTGTTCACCTAAAAGTGAGATTTGAGTAAGGGCCATTGTGGATTTCTCTCTCGGTTTACACACCATCAGCCCGTCCCTCCCCCCAGACTCTCTCTTCTTTCCTTTTACTTTCTCTCATCCATGTCTGGTCTTCCTTCTCTACTCCAGTCTTTTTTTCCTCCCTCCTCCCTCCTTCCATTCTTCTCTCCTTCCCTCCTTAGTTATTCTGATTACAACTTTTACAGGTCCCTTGAATTTCTTTCCAGTGACCATGGCTATAAAATGACACACCTCTTGTTTACTTCTGGTTAGAATAACTGAAACCATAGAGCCTCTGGGGGGAAGTGCCCCTAAAATGTCCACAGGAGTAGTAGTCTTAGTAGATGTAGATGAACCCATTAAGCTACAATTTCATAAATTCTGTCTAAATCAAATTGTTAGCAATTCTGAGCAGTTTTCTTTCGCTTTTGTGGTGATAAGAATCTCTGAGCTTCATTTACATTTCAAAGCTTGATGACACTTGAGAAAGAGAATCCAAAGCCTTTGAAAACCTGGTTCTTTTTAAATAGTATCTAAGTTACACTTGATCTAAGACAAGTGAAAGAAAACCAGCGCAAATCCTGCAAGATTGCAATACCATGAAAAAAGGGAACTGTGAAGGAACAAACCGAAATATTCTGACTTGGGCAGGATATGGAGGTTACAGTTTTAACCGATCCAAATGAACAGAAGCTGTACCTCATTAAAACAATTCATGAGCGGTATCTGCTATCAGTACAGTATTTTCTGTAAAGTACGTCCTAGGAGAGTCTCTGTAAACACCCATTTCCTAAGATACAAAGTAGCTTCCTCCTTCTCTGCTGTTTTCATAATAATTGTTACCCTTTACTTCAAACAAAACACATCTTCTAAGACAGTTTCTATGCAGTGTGTCCACAATGGCTTATACATTTACTTTTTGAGGACTCTTTGAGGGAACAGGTGTTACAAACATGCCTGCTTTCTGTGTTATTTATTGTACCCCCCCCGCCCCCCCAAACCCCAGCTCCTCAAAGCAGAGTCTCTGGAGGAAGCTTTAATGCAGAAAAGCCCAAAGCACTGAGCAGCCTTGGTCTTCTCGCTCCTCCTTCCCTTACAGACCTTGGCCCCTAAACATCCTAGTTCAAAGTGCTCTCGGCAGTAGATAGGGCCTCAGAAATGGCAAGAACATTTGAAGTGAAAATATGGAACCTTGGAATCTAGTCTGAAGACCTTGAAGACCTGATGATAAGTTCTGTAAACACGTTACCAGGTTTCCTTACTGCTTCCTTCCTCGACACCAGCGAAAAGCTCGGCACAATTTGAACCTAATTTCTCAAGGCTAACAGCTCTGCTTCATTCTCTTGGCTCACGTGAGTTTGGCTCGAGAAAGTTTTCTCTCAAAAAGTCAAATTGTGTGAAAGCAGTAAGTTCTTGTTTCTTTTCTCCCGTTGTCTACATGATGCATCACCTCCCTCGGCCTCTCTTCCCACAGATTTGCAAATATATTCCCAAGGATCTCTGAGGGCAAACTGAACAAAAGTCAGAAAGGAAAGTGAGGGTGAGGAGTCCACTTACCGTCCTCTGAACTATCAACACCATAATGGTCGCCACAGCAAAGATGAGACCCACAGCCAACGAGACTGTGATGAAATAGAAGTAACCGCGACTAGTCCCCAAGTGGCTGGTGACGGAGCCTGCCGGCACATGCATGGCTGTGTCTTGAGAGGGGGCCACTCCGTCGAGTGCCTGCTGCAGCCCTGAGTCCATTCTTATATAGCCTTCCCCACATCACACCTTATCTCTCCTCATCTGACTCGGTTCTGGGCCCATCTCGGTTCCAAGAAGGATTCTTCCCCCTGCATCCTGAATCATGTGACTTGGAAAAAAACCTTCACCGGCTGCCTTGCGAAGAAATTCTTCTCTGGGGGCGTGAGGCGAAAGGCAGCAGCAGGGGTGGGGGAGAGGTTCATTTTTCATCGCCAGGGATTACTTTGACTGCAGAGAAACCAGCTACAGAGAAGGTGGCTGATGTCAGAGGGCGAGTAGGAAAATGACGGTTTCCCTGATCTGTATGTGTGTGCGCGCGCCTGTGTGTGCACAAAGTAACTTCTGTTTTCGTTTAGACGCAGCCACAGAACGCCTTCCTGCTCCAGAAGCTGCACATTTCTCTTTAGCGAGGCCTGTGGCTCAGAAGTCCTGGCTGGGTAGCATCTCTCTTGGACCTCAGGCTGGATTCTTTGTGCTGCGGCAGAGTAACTCCAAAGTTTAATAATACCAGCTCTGGCTGACAAACTGGAAGGACTTCCAGATACATGAAAAGAAAGAGTCCACAAATAGGGGATTGATCCAAGGGGGGACCAGCTCACAGCAGTGTGGAATTGGAGGGGGGTCAAGACACTGGTAAGAGCAGGAATCTGGAAACACTAATCTTCTGAACCAGGAATTCCTGCAGCATGTATCGGGATCTGCCATAACATAAAAAGGGGAAGCCTCCACGGGAGGAGGGGGTGGAGACATGCTGTGGTGCAAACGCGTGGGGGCGTGTGCCCTGTGGGGCGCATTTGCGGTGTGAGGTACAGTAGACCTGTTGCATCTGTTGTGTACTGTGTGCTGCGGCGTGTGTCTGAGATGAACCTTTGCGGTCTCAGGATAGTGCAAGTTCTTTATACTTGGCCTCACTCTGCTTTCACCTCCGCCCGCCCCCCCCTTTCCCCAAGGCAGCTATTTCAGTTTTACACATGGGGAAATTGAGGCCCGGGGGAATGGAAATGGTCTCAGAATATGCTGTACATGTTGACCAGTGGAATAACTTGGCTGCATGGCTGTACCTGGCCGACCCCACGCTCACACTAAATCACTTGCCCAAATGCTCTTGAAGACTGAAAGCCTGAGGTCCAGCCTCACCCTTCCCATGAAGGACATTGGGTCCTTGTACACATTTCTGGGTCCTTCCCTCCCTTTTCTTCTACATTGGCAGTCACCATCAAGATCAAATCAGTGATGTAAGAGCACTTCATGAGTGGGAATAGACTTGGCTGTGGCCTGGGATCATTCCGGTTAAAAGTTGCAAATAGCCGGGGGGGAGGGCGTGGGGGGGTAGAGGGTTGGGGGGGGTGCTGGGATTTAGATAAATGCAGCAAATAGATTATCTTTGGTCACATTTGTGGTTACCAGTAATCTCCTTTTCAAAACACCACTTAAAATATGAATCACTGCCTAGCTGGTGCCTCCGGATGTAGCTGTTTGAGAACTTCATCTGCAAGTAGCCAGATCTTTACAGCCTCCTCCGTGGCCTCACCCTTTTTGGTTGCAGCGGCTGTCTGGAAGCCATCAGAAGTCTGAGGGAGTGTCCAGTGTCCACGCCAAGCATGGATTGTCACCACCGCCCCCTCTGCATGGCTCCCGGACTGCTGAGCTTTGTCTGAGTTGGGATGCGCTGAGTCTTGGCTGGGATCTTCCTTCCCCAAGAATCCATAAAATCATAGCTCTAGGGGGTGGAAGGACCAGTGGGAGCTAAATTGTCTTCTGGGGCAGCCTACCCATTTCACAGACAAGGAAGCCGAGGCCCCCCTAGTCCCATATTGGGCTTGGTTTTAGGAGAAATGGCTGCACACAACCGTTTGGTCCGGTAATTGAGGTGGGAATGAAGCAAACCAGTGTTTGGGGGTGTGCTTCTCTGCCTGATGTGGGGAGAAAGCTGTGTCCTGTGGTGGGCCTGGGCAGGGAGTGGGTGGCAGGCAGCTCTTTCATCTGCCCAGGGCTGCTGAGAACAGGCTGCTACCTCGGCCTCTGTCTTTGTTCTCTTTGATGAAAGTGGAAAACTTGTGATTGTTGAATGGAAGCTGTGGGTGTTGAAAACTAAAAAAGACTTTGCTTGAAGTGCAGGTCTTCTTGAAGGCCCATGGGGCTGTGAAGGGAGGTGGAAAGAAATGTTTGTCTCACAGTTGCTAGTTTTGCATACAGTACAGTGTCCTGGGGGAGGCTGACAGGGGGGAAAACCACCCTTTCTTCATACTCACAATCCTCTGAGCAGTTGAGATTTTCAGATCAATTTGTTTCTCTGGCATTTTTGCGACCCAGTCTCACTCCGTTCCTGAGGTGTCCCTCCCTCCCAATCCTTCAAGGCTTTCCTGGTTCTCACTCCAACTGGACTGAAGGCTCTGTGGTCAGGCTGTTCCAGAAACTGCCTGGCCAACCCAGTGATTCCATCCTTTGCTAATTGGCCTCTTTCTCCGTTCTATACAGGTGGAAAGAGCCTCTCAGAGTTTCTTTTTGAGTGATTTTTGGACCCTTTCTGGAAGTGAAACTGTCCAGAGTGGGAAAAATGTAAGAAAGTGGAGTTTCTCTGGTGGAAACAGAGACAGGAGAGCTGCGCCCAGGGCGACCATTGTTCTGTCACTGGCCTGGAGTCTCTCCAAGATGGAACAGAATTTGGAAACTCGTGATGCAGCTCAACACCCTCATTCCTCAAGTGAGGAACCTGAGACAAAGAACTGGAAATGACTGGAGGGGGTGCACATGGAAAGGTAGAGAAAGACCTACCCGCTCACTCTCTTCCTGCCTCTGCTGGCTTCGCAGGTACACACTGGCCTGGCCGCTTTCCATGCCTTCAGACCTGCCCCTGCAGACCCCTGCCAGCCTGCCTTGCCACCTCCAGGCAAGCCTGTACTCACTGTCTTCTGTCTAGAACCCTCTAACTCCATGCCACATAGTATCACATCTCATTATCTCCTTGTCTCGATGGCCTGGCTGGAGTGCGCACACATGTGTGAAAATGCCTTCCTCCTAAGGTGACGACAGTATGTACTTTCCCAGTCTCCTCCTGACTCTCCATCCACCTGCGTTACTCAGCGCCAGGCCAGCATCTCAGCTACCCTGACTCAAGGTTTCTATTGACTCCGGTTATGGCCAGGGAAACTTCTAGGCTGGCGTGTAGAAATAAATCAAATGACAGTGTAGCTACAGCATCTGAGACGTGGTGGGCAACAGAATAGTCTCTCATCGCTTTGAAAGGTGACAAGACATCCACCATTGATAAAAAGTGAAGAACCAGTTCTAGTGCCTCTCCCCTGCCGCAGCCTTGCTTCCCTATGTGAGGGATATGAGGCTTCTATCCCAAAGACCAGTGGTTCTCAAAGAATGGCTATGGACAAGGGGCAGCAGAACTAGGTGCAAATTCTTGGGCTTCACCCTAGACCTGCTGCATCAGAAACTCGGGCACAGGTCCAGCAAGCTGTGTCATAGTAAGCACCCCAGGGTGGTCTAATACCTGAGGCTTTTTGGAAATCACCAGTTTGAGAAAATAGCCAAACTTTGAGGAAGAGCCTCCCACAGATTATGTGGCCCAGCCTCAGGCCTGAGGGCTGGTGAACTTCTGCCCCTTCTGTGAGGATGAGAAAACTGAGGCACGGAAAAGTTGTTGGCCAGGGCCAGGTAGCTGGGGAAGGTTGGCATGAAGCCTGGTCTTTCTGCCCCTGACTAACCCCTCAAATATGGCTTTAAGTTACACAAATACTATTTTAAGTATATGCAGGGGAATATAGACTTATAATAGTCACCTGAAATTATTACTGATCATATTTGAAGTTAGAATGAGGAATTAATAAGGGGGCAGGAAGATCATGCCAACCTTTGCCAACTACCTGACCCTGGACTAGAACATCCATGTCTCAGTTTTCTCATCTGTACAAAGACCAGAGGCTAGACCACATGATGGTCCTTAGCAAGTGCCCTTCTCTCTTGGCTCCTGCCTTCTGCCTTCTTCTCTGGCTTTTGTTCTTACATACGTAGAGAGTAAAGGGATTGGATGAAGAAACCTTGACTGATGACACTTTGAGCAGTTGAGCACAGCACGTGTCACTCTCAGCTTCTTAGTGGTCAGGACAAGAAAGAAAACACATGGGACTGCAGAACTGCCTGACTGTACAAAGCACTCAGTGCAAAAGGAGGAAGGTTCCATTTGCTGGCTATAGAGGTGCTTTGAAACATATAGCATTTGGAAATGGTATGTGATGGCAATGTGCGACTTTAGAGAATTAGGATAAGAGCGGGTCTTAAGTGAAAACCCTGGAATATTTTAAAAGAAATGGAATATCTTGAAATTCAGTGATGAGAACTAAAGATACACAAGTAATACATAAGTGGCAGATTGAAGAAATAAAAGCAAACCATTCCTGGTCTCTGGGGTTCTATGGTACAGTTGAAGAAAACTTTTAAGTTGGCTGGTTCTTGAGAAACTGTTGTTACTGAAAGAAGAGAAATAAGTCTGCACTTTTTGCAAAGCTGAAGAAAGCTTTATCAATAAAACAAAAAGATATGGGAAGCGAAGGGTGACCTGTTCTAAGGTGGATCATCCCTTGGGTCTTTAAGAGTTTCCCATGCGTTAGAACACTGCCAAGGCAGCCATGAACATGGCCAGCATCGTCCAGCTTCATGAAGCTTAGAATCAGGTGGGGTGAGACCGGCAGCACAGTATGCCACGGCAATACAAAGCAACTGAGACTCAGGTGGGATATTGTACACAGTGGGGAAACTGAGGCTGATCTGCCATTCCCTAGGGGGCTTCCCAGAGGCACACTTTTTTTGGGGGGGGGAGATTTATTTATGCACACACTGGGGTACAGGCCAGAGGTGCAGGGGTGGTGAGAAGATTCACCAGAGACACAGTGGGGAGCAGAACAGGCAGATTGATGAAGTACACTGCTGAGGGGAGCAGCGGGCGGGTCAGGAGAGGTCTGCGGTGCCATGTGGGTCACCTCCGGGGCGGGGAATCAAACTCATGCTGAAGTGGCTTTAGCTTCTTAGTGCTGTGCTTTAACCTGCTGCACCACCGGGGAGGGCCTCAAGGCAAATTCTTTACACCAATTTAATGAGCAAAAGTCCACCTCCCACTACTGTGTCATTTTCTACCCTTCCTTTTCTAGCTTAAAATTGTTGGATTTTGCCATTGCCTGCGGAATGCTGCTCAGGTTTCCTTCTAAGCGTTGTTTTCAGCCTCTGCTGGCACTAAACCCCACCTCCACTGCAGGTGCACTTACATTCTGAGCCTCCTAGCCTGCG